AAGCCTCTGCCACAAGCAGTCAAGGTGCCAGGACATGACTCCTGGATTCACTACTCACGAGTCAAGCTGTGGAAGAAAAGAGAAGAGGACACTCAATACACCTGTCAACAAGCTACAACATGCAATGCCAGTTCAACAAAGATACAAAACTACAGCTGACGACGGAAAACATCACTCACCTTTAGATGGACACCACTATAAGGACTCTGAGGCCTGAGACTAGCAAGAGGGGGAGGCCCAATACCCCCTCGCCATCACAGTTCAGCAGGAAGAAGCCAGAAAGACCTCGACGCTCCTATTCCCAAAGAATTGGGCCTCCCATCTCTTGAGGGGGGAATGTTAGGTAGGTAGAATAGGGAAAATGAGTCCAAAATGGACTAAAAGACAAGGAGGGAAAAGCCAGAGAAAATAGAGCAGAGGAAGGTCCAGGACCGGAGTGAGGGCTTCAGGTAGAGCAGCGCCCCTGCCTAGGCCCAATTTGCATAGGACAGGCCCAGGGGGGAGAAAAAAACCATAAAAAGAGGAGCCAAAGGGTTTTCTCTCTCTCTCTCTCTTTCCCACACGTGTGTACGCTCTCTCTTTCTCTTTCTCTGTCTCTCTCTCTGTCTCTCTTCCAGGCGTGTGTATGCTCTCTCTCTCCCGCACGGTGAGGCACTCTTCTCTTCGAGTCTTTGGATCGACGTGCCCTCACGCCTCGAAGATGGATTTTCCTGCTATTATCTAAATAAATAGAGTTGTAACACTGAAAAAAAAAATCATTTAGTGATGTTCCATATAAAATATGTTATGATTTTTAACCTACTACATCAAATTATGGATACATTTGGGAGAATAGACATCTTTCTAATACTGAGTCTTCTAGTCCATGAACATATGTTCTTCTATTTATTTATTTTCTTGGTAATATTCCATAGTTTTCTTTGTTAAGGGGTTGGTACACTAATTTTTAAGTATTTATCACTAGGTATTTGAATTTTTTGATGCTTTTATACATGAGTATGTGTTTAAATGTTTAATTTTTAAATTCTTGCTGACACATAAAATTCATTTGGATTTTGCATTTTGACCTTGTACTATATTTAGCAACATTGCTAAAAGTCACTTACTCATTCTGATAATTTAGTGGTAAATTCTTTAGGACTTCATATATATTCAATCATTTCATCTTTGGAAAAAAATTTTACTCTGTCACAATTCTTATACATTTAATTTTTCCTGATTGAGTACACTGGCTAAGACCACCTATATGAAGCTGAATAGAAGTGATGATAATGGATACCTTTGTCTTTATAATCACAAAGGAAAATTTTTCAGCATTTCACCGTTAAGCATGATGCTTTCTGTGGGTTAATGTCCTTTTTTTTCTTCAAAGATACTGTTTATCAGATTAAAAAGTTAACTGCAGTTCCTAATTTAAGAAATTTAATCCTTGAATGGATGTTGAAATCTATCAAATGTTTTTCTGCATCTGTAAAAATATTTTGATTATCATATCACTTTCTCCTTTATTATGTTGATTGAGTTTCAGAAGTTAATTTAACCATGTAGTCAACTTGGTTTTCACATGGAAGCTTTTTATATACAGCTAGATTCGATTTGTTAATATTTAATTTGATAAAACTGAATGAAATTGAGTTGTGTAAAAGTTCATCCTTATAATGGCCTTGTCAGATTTTGGTATTAAGATTAAGCCAGGCTCAAAGAATAAATTAGGGACTTTGAGGAAGAGATCAGAGTGAAGTGACTTCTCCTGTAAACGTTTGGTAGAATGGCGCTGGTGAAGCCCTCTGAGCCTGTAGGTGGGAAGGTTTTCACTGACAAACTCGTCTCTGATAGGAATAGGGCTCTTTGGATATCATCCTTCTTCAGCTGGTGTTAGGCATTTGAATTCCTTTAGTAGGAATTTGACCGTTTAGTTTAGACACAAATTGTTCACGTGTGCATTTGTGTGCTCAGTTGCTCAGTCGTGTCTGACTCTGCGACCCCATGGGCTGTAGCTTGGGAGGCTCCTCTCCCATGGGATTTTCCAGGCTGGAGCGCTGGAATGGGTTGCCAATTCTCCTCCAGGGGCTCTTCCCCACCCACGGATCAAATCCACATCTCTCGTGTCTCCTACATTGGCAGGTGGATTCTTTACCACCGCACCACCTGGGAATCCCAATATTGTTCATAAAATCCTGTAATTATCTCTTTAATATAACAGGATCTACATACCCCCTTTTTCATTCCTAATATTGACTATTTTTGCCTTCTGTCATTTTTTTCAGGCTCACCAGGAATATATCAATTTTATTAATCTTTTCAAAGAATCAATTTTGGGGTTTGTAAATCCTTTCTACTGTGCTTTTTTTTTTCTATTTCATTAATTTCTTCTCTTTTTTTCTATTTTCTATTTTCAGTATCATTTGCTAATATTCTGCCTAAATTTTTGAGGAGGGATGCTGAAATCAGGTTTTCAGTCTTTCTTCTTTTCTAACATAAGTGTTTTGGACAAGTAATACTTTTCCACCAAGGCAAAGTATTTAGGTGCATCTTATAAGTTTTGATATGTCGTATGTTCATTAATGACTGCTTAAAAATAATTTCTAACTTCCATTGTGATTCCACTTTGACCCATGGGTTATTTTGTTTCTTACTTACCAAAGATCTAGAGATTTTTTTTATTATACCCATTCTTTTTATTAAAAAAATTATTTATTTTTGGGTGCGCTGGGTCTTCGTTGCTGTGTGTGGGCTTGCCCTAGCTGCAGCAAGCCGGGGCTCCTCTCTACTTGAGTCGTGTGGGCTTCTCATCGTGGTGGCTTCTCCTGCTGCAGAGCACAGACTCTAGGCGCCTGGCTTCAGTAGCTGTGTCTTGTGAGCTCCAGAGCTCGGGCTTCAGGAGTTGTGTTGTACGGGCTTAGCTGCATGGCAGGTGGGATCTTCCTGGACTCGTGTTGAATCCATGTGCCTGCCAGGCAGATTCTTAACCACTGGACTAACCACTAACCACTAACCACTTCCAACAGGGAAGTCCTTATTATACCCATTCTTGTGCACGTGTAGTGGCTTTGATTTGGAACACAATAGAACGGGAAAGACTAGAGATCTCTTCAAGAAAATTAGAGGTATCAAGGGAACATTTCATGCAAAGATGGGCACAATAAAGGACAGAAATGGTATGGACCTAACAGAAGCGGAAGATATTAAGAAGAGGTGGCAAGAATACACAGAAGAACTGTACAAAAAAGATCTTCATGACCCAGATAATCACGATGGTGTGATCACTCACCTAGAGCCAGACATCCTGGAATGTGAAGTCAAGTGGGCCTTAGGAAGCATCACTATGAACAAAGCTAGTGGAGGTGATGGAATTCCAGTTGA